TCATATACAGCAATCGCCCAATCTAGAGTTACATATATAGCCATAAAATAGCCACACATTTTTAGTGAGAGGATCATTGTAGCATCCATCTAAGAGCCCTCAATTATTTTAACTGATTTGCTCAGATCAAAACTCTGGTTGCTCAGCACAAAGTTGATCTTGAGAGGAGAAACATTTGTTTATTCAGCTAAGTATATGAGTGATGTAAAATTACTGTATGAATGCAGTTGTCTATGCTTTGGAAACTATGCTTTGCTTCATCACATAGAACAAGTAGATTTAGAAATAGGTACTAGTTGGATATCTTCAGCAGATTAAAGTAAAGGCTCAGTCTCCTGAGTCTCTCCAACATGAAGTTCTATCTATTATTAACAAATACAACAGTGTTTGTTTACAGCCTTCCTTTATTTATGCTGGTACCACAAAAAATTGGAAAACTGTTTTTGGAATATAAAGCAATACATGCAAATTCTCCACACTTCATTAGCGGTATTGCTTTCTTTAACCAGTTATCATTCTATTATATTTTTTACTCAATATAAAATAGGTTTGCTGATTTGTTAAAGTGTCCCTCCACCAGAGAAAGAAACGTCTTTCTGCCTCTCTCTCCCCCTTGCTCTGGTTTCATCTTTCATAAAATTCCAACATGCCTCAATATTGCATCATTTTCGTTCAGAAAAAAATATAATTTGCATTTTTCACATGCTTCCTATGTAAGAATGGAGCTCAATTCTTTCCCCCAAATATTACTCCAGCTCAGCTCATCAATTCAGACCTGGGTTCTGGTGAGAATTGAACTGGATCAGAACATTCCAAAGGTCCAGACTGGGTAACCTCTGCATAGCTTGTTATCTATTAACATGTATTTTTCAAGTAATTTTCAATATATGGAACATGTAAGTAGAACTCACCATGCACAGTAAGGTTTACCTTAGAAATTGACAAAAATTCCCACATGTTCTCAGATTAATTGCTACAAAATCTTTTTCCTCCAGATACAGAAAAATGTTTCAGATGCCAAGAAGATCAATATCCTAATAAGGATCAGGATCAGTGCATTCCCAAAATTACAAGCTTTCTGTCTTACGATGATCCATTAGGAATAAGTTTAACTTCAGCTGCAGTTTTTTTCACCTTGGTCACAGTCCTTGTGCTAGGAATTTTTATCAAGAAAAAAGATACTCCGATAGTCAAAGCCAACAATCTGGATATCAGTTACATTATTCTGATTTCTCTCCTGTTTTGCTTTCTGTGTTCTTTGCTTTTTATTGGACAACCTATAAAGGTGACCTGTCTTCTCCAGCAATCTGCTTTTGGTATCATTTTCTCAATAGCCATTTCTTCTGTACTGGCCAAAACCATCATTGTAATTTTAGCTTTCATGGTCACCAAGCCAGGATCCAGAATGAGGAAATGGGTGGGGAAAAGACTGACCACTTTTATTGTTCTTTGCTGTCCCCTGATACAAGGACTGATTTGTGTGGTGTGGCTAGGAAGCTCTCCCCCATTTCCAGACACTGATACTCAAACATTAGCCAAAAATATCATATTAAAATGTAATGAAGGGTCCATCATTATGTTCTATATTGTCATGGGCTATTTGGGCTTCTTGTCCATTATAAGTTTAACTGTAGCTTTTGTAGCCAGAAAGTTGCCAGATTGTTTCAATGAAGCTAAGTTCATTACCTTCAGCATGCTCATCTTTTGCAGTGTCTGGATTTCATTTGTTCCTACTTACTTAAGCACCAAAGGCAAATATATGGTGGCTGTGGAAATCTTCTCAATTCTAGCTTCAAGTGCTGGCTTAGTGGGCTGTATATTTTTCCCTAAATGTTACATTATTTTAATGAAGCCTGAATTGAACACTAGGGGGCAGCTAATGAAGAAAATGAAATGAAGAAGTTAAGAATCTTTTACATGTATCCCTTATGTCAGCCCAGTTCCTTTTATTCATACAACCAAAGCAAATACAGTCAATATGTACCTATAACAATGCATGCAACAAGGGCTGAAAGTCTGTGCTGAATAATAATTATGTTTACTTCCACCAATCTCTCTGCCATCTTGTGCATACCTGTATTATTACAGGTAGTCCTCGACCTATGACCACAATAGGGACCAGAAAATTTGTCATGAAGTGGTGCTGTCATTAAGTGAAGCAAGATGTCATGTGACTGCACCTGATTTTTGTGGCGGTCATTAAGCAAATCACCACAGTTTTAAAATGAATCATGTGGTTCCTGATTGATTTTGCTACTCAGAAGCCGGTTGGCAAGGTTACAAATGGTGATCACATGACCCCAGCATATTGTAGCTGTCATAAATACATGTCAGTTGCCAAGCACCTGAATTTTGATCACATGACCGCAGGGACTCTGCAACAATCGCAAGTGTGAGGACAGTCATAAGTCATTTTTTTTCAGTGCCACTGTACCTTTCAAGGGTCACTAAACGAATGCTCATAAGTCAAGAGCTTTATTACCTTGGGCTGTTAATATCTTTTCTTATTTTGCAAGCTCACTAGAAGTAGTTCTTTCAGAAGTTTTAAAAAACCAAGGACAAAATAAAAAGGAAGGAAGGAAGGAAGGAAGGAAGGAAGGAAGGAAGGAAGGAAGGAAGGA